TACTCATCACTCAGAGGGAGGAAGGCGGGCAGAGATTTCAGTTTAGCTGAGCACCTACTATGTGAGCATATAGTCCTATGACCTTTGTAAGTTGTTTACTCCTTCCAGAAACCTGCCAACAAGGGTCTTATGATGTCCATATTACAGATGGGAAACTAGAACCTCGAAGAGGTAAAATGACATGTCCATAGACAAACAGCCAATAAGCGGTAGAGAAAGCATTCGAATATTGGTCTTTCTAACTCCAAATCGATCACGATTTTCTCTACACTAGAGCTGTCAGATGTGTGTTCTGTGAAATCCTGTTCCCTTCCCTTTGTACACTCTGCCAAAATTTATCTTTCTGGCTCTCTATTTTGGGAGACATTGCATATTATACATCACTTGCTGGTAGGAGGTGCAATACACACTAGGACACTTAAGGCTCTGAAAAGTCCTGCAGAGACGATAAAGATTTGACTATTCTGTCTACAGTTCCGTAACCTTATTGGATCCCGGAAAGTTCTATTGATCGTGTGTAGAGAACTGAACAGGTGCATGGCTGTATCCCATGCTGCCCTGCCAGGAAGGTTAAGAACTGAGTGTTTGGGAATCTTTTGGGTATTTCTGTGGGAACAAGCTCAGGCTGGTTGTGCAAACTTACCTTTAAAGAATATGTAATTCACCAGAGCAAAAACAGTGTCTTTGTCGAGATCCTGTACCAAATCCACAATTTTCCCTTGGGTTCCCTTCTCTACATAATCGTTGATCTGTTTCTTGGCCGCTTCAGTGTCCCTGAAGTTGATGGAGAAGGCTTCGGAGTGGTACAATTTCTTGATATCTTCCAAAAACTTGCTCACTAGCTTTGTGGTCTCGTTGATGAACAGACCATTGCCAGTGGTCAGTTGCAGCTGGTTGTCTGGCTGGTTGAGGGTGTGGAGGAGATGCTGGAAGCCTTCGTGGATCTCAGCCTCTGTTATCTCAGTGAGGTTGAAATCTAGGCCGTTCAGGATCTCGGTGTGAGTGTCACCCTTGGCCCCCAGGGAGAGCATTGCAAAGGCTATAGCGATGCTCACTGGGGAGAAGAAGATGTTGGTGGTGGTGGATCCGCTGGCCACCTGGCGGTACACGCTGAAGGCGAAGTCGGCCAGGTTGGGGGCAATCTTGTGGCAGGCTGCTTCCATGTGGTGCTCACGATCCTGATTGGGTGCATCTGTCTCCTGGACAGCGTGTCCCTGGAGACCCTCAGCCAGGGAGATGGGGACCAGGCAGCACAGGCCTGCCAACAGGAGGAGGCCCCGCGTGATGGAGGATGCCATTGTCCTGCAAGAGAGAGAAGGGGGCCACGCCCCAGTCAGGCCACTCTGTGAGTTCCTCAGCGGCTGACTGACAATCATGGAAAAGCAAACACAATTTATTTAGCCTGCGCCAGGTCTGTGCCAAGAACTGTCCTCCTTCGTCATCCCTGAAACACTCAGAACACTGGCAAAGACACTATAGCGCTCACCAGATGCCAAGTGCCGTGCTAAGCACTTTCTGGCCCTGCTGTGCCACACTCTGGTAACAGGCTTAGGAGGTAGGTCCTATGGCCCTCATGGCTTTACAGGTGAGGAGACCAGAGCCCCTAGAGGTATAGCCACTTGTCCCAGGTTACAGAGCAGCACAGTGGCAGGACCAGAATCGCCTGCCCGGGAGTCTGGGTCTGGGGTCCACGTGCTGGACGGCTCCGCTAAAGGCGGCAATGACCCCGAGGTGTAAGGGCCACAGCCCCTATTTTACAAAAGAGGAACCTGAGGCACAGGAAGGACAATGTACGTGCTCACGATCACCCAGGAAGTGCGCCAGACCTGGCTCAGGGTTGGTTGGATCTGGAACAGCCCTCGGAGGGCCTCCACTGAACCCTGTTATTTATCGGACAGAGAGGCTGCTGCCCAGAGTGGGAAGGGTCTTGCCCAGTGACACACAGCCAGGACACAGAGAGCCGCGGGGAAACCCCGCTGAGGGGCTGGACCCACTCCCCACTCACAGTGAACCTCAGCCCCTTGTAGATTTTCCTGAGTTAGGGTCTGTGGTCTCCCCGTATTAATGGGCTGAGGTCTCAGCAGTGAGCTCAGCTGCCCATCCTGATCGCCACCTGTGTCCCAGCTCTGCGCCCACCGTGGACGTGGGTGTTAGAGGTACTGGTCCCTCCAGTAAAGTGTGCGCATGTGAGAAGGTGCGCATGTAATAGTTGATAAAGCATCTCTTTTCTTTTCAGACTTGCCTGTGTTCTAATCCGGGTCTCAGCCGCCATCAGCGCGGTGACCTAGGCCAAGTCATTTAGTCTGTCTAGTCCTCATTTTGTCACATACAGAAAGTGAGGTTGTTGGGAGAATTTAATGAAATAAGGCTGGACATGAAAAACCTGCATTGACGGCATCTGAGAGAGCACATTACAGAGGGGGAGGCTGGTAGTGTTGCAAACTAGAAGCCTTCAGACAACGGCCGGGGAGGGAGATGAGTCCCGTCGCCAGGGGTGGGGGCGATAGTCGGGAGTGGCAAGGCCTGTGGCTGAACCAGCAAGATCGGTCTCTGTCTAGTGATGATCAAGGTCAGTGTCACCCACAGCAACACAGGGCCGGCTCTGCCCCACTGAGCTCCCTCTACTCCAGAGAGGCCCCGGCCTTGGACCACACAGCCTACATACAAGGAGCTCTCTTCTCAGATGGGGAACCAGGGATCCGAGCAGAGGAGCGTGTGTGTCTGCTGTTAGCTGTTAGTTGCGTGACTAAAAGCATCATTTTAATAAAACACAAAGGCCAAGGAGCCCTTGAACTTGGCATATGAAAACATGAAGGGAAAAAATTGGAAATAAGAAATGCTGAGTTTCAGACTCACAGACATTGAAAACAAACTTGTCATTACCAGTGGGGAGAGGGGGTTTGCAGATACTAACTACGATATATAAAATAGATAAACAACAAGGTCCTACTGGGTAGCACAGGGAACTGTGTTCAGTATCTTATAACAGACTATAATGAAAAAGAATATGAAAAAGAGTATATATATATTGTGTGTGTGTATATATATATATATAAAATGTATGTATAACTGAATCACTATGCTGTGATTAACAGAAATTAACACAACATTGTAAACTGACTCTAATTCAATAAAAAAAAAGACAAAAAATGCTGGGCTTCATCTACCCCCTTGGATTTTTAAAAGTTTCTTTCCAATAAAACAACAAGACAAAGTACAAAACTAGTTTCTTTCCATCACCTTTTTTCCGGCCTTCATGCCTCTAAATAATCCAAGTAGAGCAGACTACACATTACATAATACCTGTCTGGATTTTTCTTAAACTAACCAATGGTTTTAGAGCTGAAGATGGGGCCAAAATTAGTTCTGTATATTTCCACCTCCCTTGGGTTTCTCTTTACTTCCTTACTGGATTTTGGGGCAGTCCTCCATGGTTTATGGAAATTCCCCACTTTGCAGGGCTCAGAGATCATGAGGGATTTGGGCCTCGGCAGGGTGGGGACACTAGATGTGCTGAGTAGCCTCCTGGCTGGAGGCTGTGGCTTCTGGCCCTGACAGGACCATGTCTCTCGACCTGGCTTTGGGCAAGCATCTTCTTGTCCTGGGCCTTGCTCTCCCCAGCTGTGTAAATGGAGGTGGGGAAAGACCTAAATGAGGTCTTTGTGTACTAACACTGGATTCTTGATTAGCTGGGTATCCCTGTTTGGTGGAACAGAATGGGCTGAGACTTCCCTTAGGTGAGGGGTGGGGGGAGGTGCCTCCCACTGAAAGGGCTGCTGGTGTGGGGCCCAGGTGAAGAGGGGCTATAGCTTGCCTGAGCACAGGTTTCCCTGACCCCCCCCCCCCCGACCCTCAGTTCATCTGCCTGGAGGTCACATCACCTCCTCTGGTTTCCTCCTTTTACCATAAATAGTCTGAGGCCAGGAGCAGGTTAGGCCTTGCCAGGGCCACACCGGGAGTCAGGGACAAAGCTGGCTGGACCAAGCCTGGGTTTTCCCACCACCAGACAGGGACCATATGTCCTCAGATCTTAGATGCTGAATGTCAGAATTGGACCCCCAGGGACTCGGCTGTTAGCCTTGAGCCCACGTTGGCTTTGTTTTGCTTCCCAGCCTGTTCCTTCAGGGGCCCAAGGCTTTTGCTCCCTCCTCGCCCTTCTACCAAAGGCAGGGCTCTGCACCCCTCAAGTTCTAGTGCCGGGGAGCCAGCCGGAGATGAGGAATAAATGGCGAAGTGCCCAGAGTTTTGGCCCAAACTTGAAGCCAAAAGAGTGCAGACGTCACTGGGACATTTCCAGAGTCAGGGCAGGTAGGGGAGAGCAACGGGGACCATGTCTTTGCCTAATCTCACGCCACTGCCCCCTTGGACACAAAATGAGCCATGAAGAGTGACCCAGTGGGGTCCAGGAAAATAACTGTGCCATAAGGGCACAACCTGCTGCAACCTGGCCCTAAGTAAGCCCAGGTTGGACCCAGCCCCGCCGCTTATGGGCAAGTGGCCTTGGGCAAGAGACTTCACTTCTTTGAGCCCCGGCTTCCTGTCAAGTGGGGAAAAGAGTCTCTGGTGGGCAGATGTGAGCAATCAACAAGGTGATGGCGGGGCGGACACCTCCTGGGTGTGGAAGCCCTCCCCATACCTGCGCACAGGTAGGGTTTGGGTGTGAGAACTGGCAGATTCCTTCTCTACCACTTGCCAAACTGCCTGGGACCGGAGAGGGGAATCCCTGCTCAGCAAAGAACAGCCTCTGAGTTTGAAAAATGTTCAGTCCTAGTCTCCAAGTCTTGTTTTATCACCTATTAGCTGCCAAACCCGATTCCTAGCAAACATTAGCGTCAGTGTCCCCATCATCATCCTCACACTTAGGAAACAGCAGGACACAGACATACACCGTCTCATCTAATCTCTCAAAGCCTGCCCTATGAGGTGGGAATGATTATTAGCCCCACTTCATAGATGGAGAAATTGAGGCCTACAGAGGTTAAGTAACTTACTGAAACCCACAGAGCTGGTTGCTTACAGAAGTGGATTTAATCCTTGGCATTTTGATTCCTGAGCCTGACATTTAACCCTTCTCTGTATACAAAGCTGAAGTAAGAGGCCTTGAAACAGAAAATCTCAGACGTGGCCCGGCCAAATGAAGAGGGGGAGCATCAGTTTGTGGCTAAGATCAGAAGCTTTGAGGCAGACTACTCAAGTTCAATTTGCTGTCAGCTGTGTGACTTTGGACAAGTTACTTAACCTCTCTGAACCTCAGTTTCCCAGAGATGATAAAAGTGTACTTCTTCATGGAGCTCTTATGCAAATGAAATAGGCTCTGAGTGCCACGAAGTGCCTGGCACACCGTCTGCTCCCAGGAGGCATCACTGTTACCGATACTGGGCTCTTTCAGAGCCCTCTCGGGGAGTCTGGTTGCCTTGGCCTCCGTCATCTTTATAGGCCCCACCTCCAAAAACCAGTGATGGAAAAGTCCTATCCTTCCTAAACTCCATAGATTAAGGCAGGTAGGGGTAGGTGTAGGGTAGGGGCAGGAGGGCATAGGTTATCTGTGCTTTGCCCAAAAGGACAGAGAAGTTAAGCAACTGTCCAGGGTTGCCCAGCATCAGAAGGCCCTCCAGGCCAGCCCAGGCTTCCCAGTCTCCATCTGGTGCCTGAGATCCCAGAAATGGGATCAGGAATGTGGGTTCCAGAGCTAGGCGGCCTGAGTTTGAATCCTGGATGGTGTGAAATTTGGGACAAGTGCTGAACCTCCCTGTCCCTGATTTCCTCATCTGTAAAATGGGAAGAGCGTGGTAGCCACTTCAGAAGGTTGCTGTGAGGCTTAAATAGAAGCTGCCTGGCCAGCATGAGGGCTCAGGAACACCCCGAGGACGGTGGCCCTCTCTGGCTTCCCATTGTCCACTGCGGATGGGGTGCCAGAGGCCCACTGTGTACAGGGGGGCCCACTTTGGCACCCCCAGGCTGAGACCTGGCCTGATGCTGTTTTGGGCATACCTGCAGAGGATGGAGGCCTCCTAAGCCACTGAGACTCTGGGCTTCTGGTCCGCCCAGGTCCCTGCGTCAGCCTGGGCTCCTCACTGGCCCTCTCATCAGTAGAAGTGGAAAAAGATTCATACCTGAGCAGCAGCCGGAGTGGTGAGGTCTACAGCATACGACCCACAGGAAAGACTCAGGAGCTGTGTCAGCAGAAACAGGCTCCTTCCTGGGTCCCCCGGACACCAGAGCCAGCCCCCCACTTCCACTCCCGCTTACAGAGGGCCAGTTTAGTCACCAGTAGGTACTGGGGAGGTCCTAGACAGCCTTAGGGGAAGGGACCCTCCAGGGCTGCTGTTACTATGACAACAGGAGGCCCAGCCCCAGCCCACTCCAACCCCCCTGCATCCCAGGCAGCGCAGGGACCCACAGGCCTCTGGGGAGGCGCTCGCCAGTGGAAGGCATACTTACGATTCACTGTCCCAGGCTGGGGCTGGTGACCAAGGCTGAGGAGACAGAGCCTTGTCCTCACCTGTATTTAAGCAGTGGATCCAGAGGTACGATGGGGGAGGCTGCTGGTGAATATTAACCAAGGTCACCTCAGTTATCGGAGGAGCAAACAAGGACTAAGTCCACGGGCTGGACACTGAGTCGCCTGCCCACGCTGCCTGTATGTGCTCTTCCTGGGCGGCACGCAGCCCTCTGCTCCTAACACCAAAGGGAGTCTTTGTGTCCAGCTCATAAACCACAGCATCCTGAATCCAAGGTGGGGTGGCGTGTGACTCAGGCAGTCTTTGGGATGGCAGGACTTGCTGGCCTGCACTCCAGCTGGGGAGTTCTCGGCGGCTGCTCCACAGGTAGCAAGAACTACCATTTACTGAGCCACCTCGAAATGCCCACTGCTGAAGATGCGGGGTGGGGAAGTGGGTCATGAGTCCAATTGGCAGATGGAGAAACTAAGGCCCAGAGCGGAAAGGCTGCCCATCTGAAGTCAGCAAGGCAGCCTCAGATACAAAAACTCTCTCAACATCCCTGGAAAGAAGATAGGGCCTGAGCGATGCTGTCACAGCCACTTAAGGCTGACACAGGCGGCCATGGGCACAGGCGGCTGTGAGCACAGGCCAGGGTCAGAGAGTAAATCTGTAAAGCTGTGTGGCCTCAGGCAAAGTGCTTCATCTCTCTGAACCAGAAGGTATATTTTCATTTGCATCATTGGGCTTTAGAAGTCAAGCTTCTTAGCATGGTTGTCAGGGTTACACAAAATCCCTTCTGTAAAGTGCCTGGCACACAGTAGGCTCTTTACTTTGATTTGCACAGCCTGCTGTTCAGCCCTGTCTTCAGGCTTCTCTGGGCAGACCAGAGGAGGCTCAGTTCTTCGCCACCCTCAGGCCCATTTCTGTTTCCCTTGGATGTAGCTCCCGGCAGACTAAGGTAATCCAAAAATGGCTTGGATTTTCCTCAGGACTACGGCCCCATCCAAGGGCGATCGCAAGCCCCTAGGAACACTGGTGGTGGTTGGGGGTGGGGGTGCAGGGTCTGAGGCCAGTAGGGCCTTACTTGTTTTAAAAAGGGCCCTTTTTTAAACAACTGAAGGCAGACAGCACCACACTGTGCGCGACGCCTACATGCCCACTTGGCATGCAGTGTGCACTCTGTAGGCGTTTGTTGAATGAGTGGACACCTGCATCCCTGTCCCTCCTGTTTTCCTCTGGTCCCAGCTGGGGGACTCTGCCAGGTGAACAGCCTGCAGGTCTGTCTAGCACACAGGTTTAGACCAGGGAACCCAGTGCCCCCATTCATTGGCTGTGAGGTGTCAGGCAAGCTGGTTATCCTTTCCATGCCTCAGTTTCTGCATCTGTAAAATGGGGATAATGACAGTTCCTACCTCACTGGCCTTCTGTGAGGATTAAACACAGCAGTTCCAGGTAAGCTCAGAGCCCAGTGTTGAGAGCACACAGGAAGCCCTTTATGATATTGCAGACCCTGGGCCAGTGGGTCTCCCTGGTGTCTTTCAGGGTCGTCGGTGGCTGGGTGGGGGACATTCCAGGGGCTTCCCTGCAGGCCTCATTCAGTGTTCTTAGTACCCTTGTGAGGGGAGGAGGTACCTCCCCTTATATAGAAACAGAAATGAGCTCAGAGAGGGGAGGGCTCCCTTGCTCCCGTCCCTCCTGACTCCCCAGTTCCATAGTCTGGCTTCAGAACTGTGACTCTTTCCCCTGAGCTGGCTGAATGGGCATCTCCCCCAGGACTCTGCATCTGCTTGGAGACCTAGGCTATGGTGAGGTGAGGCCTGCCTTTCCTACCTCCTGAGAATTTCTCCTCCTCCCCATGCCTCAGTTTCCCCATCTGCATAATGGCCTCCCTCCAAGCCCAGCTGCCCCTCCCGGCTCTCGCATTGAATGAGCAACAGCACACACCCAGGCTATTGCCAAGCGTGGCCCCTGCAGCCCAGCGGCCTGGGGGCTGGTGGATAGCTGCCCCCCCCAACCCCCCCTACCTTCAATTCTGGCTGCGGTGGCAGCCACGCCCTCCTGACGCGGCAGAACCTCCTTGGCTTTGGGGCTCCCGCAGGCTGTGTGCCCCTGAGCCTGATCTCTGTCCGCATAGGAGGAAGGAGGCTCTGGGTGGCGCAGGCAGCAGGTCTGGGAGGGGCGGGAACTTGGGGCAGGAAGCTGTCTTTCACAAAGCTGCCAGGAGCCAGGCAGATGCCAGGCGGCCCTACCCAGCCCAGGCAGTCCTGTGTGTCACCTGCTGCTCCTGCTGTGTCCAGCTGTGTGACCCAGGATGAATCATTTAGTTCCTTTGAGCCTCTGTAAGAGGGCTGGTTGCATGGTGGCAGAGATGGCAGGGGCCACCCTTTGGTCCAGGGCTGGCATCAGCATCTCGGTAGGTTTCTAGGGCCAGCTGTAGAGGGAAGAGGCATGAGCCACCTCTGAATGCACTAGGGGAGCCCCACGGAGATTGAGAGGGGGCTGTGTGTGTGGGAGAGGTATGTGTCATGGACGCTGGCTGGGGGCAGAAGAGATGCAGGCTATCAGGGGCACTGGGGACTTGGAGGAGGAGTGAAGAAAGAGTATTGGGGAGGGGAGTGGGAGAAAGTGAGGGGCTCAGAGTGGCGGCCTGTCTCTTCTGAATCAAGGGCTCCTCGCTCAGCACTTCCTTATTTATCTCCCCATCCTCACACTCACCACTCCCTTAGTATTTCATGCTGCGGACAGCTCTGCTGGACACCTACCCTGGAAAGAAGGGGTGGGATGGTCTGGAAAAATGGGCAAGGACAGAATCCCTTAGTGGGGCACCCAGTGTCCATTCTGCACGGCACTGTGTCCCACAAACCACAAGCCATGGTGGAGGAAGTCCTGTCCACGTGGTTAATTCTGGAATTGTCGATTGCTAGATCTGGGCTGATTCCCTGGGTGTGAATGTATCCTAGGAAGATTCTGTGGGCTGGCTGTAAATAAGGGGCATCTGGGGAGACCTTATCCCCCACTGGCCTGTCTAGAGATGGGAGAGAGATGGATAGAAGCATGAGAGCTGAGGAGTGGGGGCTGCAGCAGGAAGGGAGGGAGGGGAGGGGTGTGTGAGGGGCCCTGGACCAAGTAGCTCAAGGACCAGAAGCTCTGACTGGTCCAGAGAACGATGCTGGACGTAAGGGATGCTACACCTGTTTGGCAGAGCTCCCCAGAGAGTGCAGTTTCCAGCCTGTGCTGACGGCCCTAGACACACACGCAGTCACATCACACGCACCCCCACGCTCAGATCCCCCATACTGTGGAAGCCTCCCTCCAGGCACTGGTCCTTTCTTCAGGAGGCAGTGCAGGTCAGTGGTTCAGGCATGGGCTCAAGGGCTAAGCACCTGGGTTCAGCAGTTCTCTCTGTGAGATCTTGGCCCCTTGACCTCTCTGTGCCTCCGTTTCCTAAGCTGTGAGACTGCAGATGAGAATGTGGAGAGTCAAGGAGATGATAATATATCAGATTAAGGGCGGCCTCAGGCCCGAAGTCAATACCAGCCACATTTAATCTTCAATGTGTCGAGGCCTGGGAAGCCGTTCAGGTGGGTCCCAGGTGCTAAGCAGGAGAAAGACCTGGGGGGCAGCGCACTTTGTCTGGTGGGCACTTCTTCAGATTCAAGTTTCTGCTTGTCCCCAAAGGCCACAGCCCCTTCTGCTGGGGGGCTGCACTCACTTCGCTTCCTGAGGGCACAGGGCCAAGTGCAGTTAACATCTTTCTGAATACCTGCAAGGTGCAGAGGGCCAGGTCAGGTGTGGGGTAGATTCAGGGGAGGACCTCATTTTAGCTCTCTGAGCCTCAGTTTCCCCCTCTGTAAAATGGGCATACTGAGAGTCTTTTTTTTAATATGGTTGTTTTGAGGCTTAAATGAAGGGATGGTTTTGGGGTGTTTGACACCAGGCCTACTCTGTAGTCATCACCGACCCCTTGTCTGTCTTCTCATAACTCGTTTAAACTAGTTGGCTTAGTCGCACTGTCCGAGAGTCTCTTCCAGGAGGTGGGCTGAATTTGCATCATGAATGCCCCGCCTTTTAGCATCTTGCAAACCTACCAACTTGCAACACCCTAGTGGACACTTTTTCCTTCCGGACATGACCTCACGGCTGCTTCCTGTGCACAGTTCAATTCTTGCTTTTTCTGGAACAACTGGACTTATTCCCGGTTTCTTGTTTTCGGTCTTCATCCTTACCGTTAGGAAAAGAAGGCAATTCAGTGCACTGGAAGTGACCGTAGAGTTCACAGGAGGATTAAAACACGCAGTTACTTTTCCACCCTCTACTTGTTCAAATTAATGAAACTACTGTTTTTGTTTGTTTGTTGTTTTTGTTTTTTATTGAAGTCTAGTCAGTTACCATGTGCCAATTTCTGGTGTGCAGCATAATGTTTCAGCCATACATATACACACATATATTTGTAATATTACTGTTTTTATTATCGCTGTTTCTTTCTACACTTTATTTTAACTTGACCCTTCTGAATATATGGACTATTATTGGCTTTCAGTTTTTAGGAGGCTCCACTGGTCTTGTTTAAAGATAATTAGTATTTCCTTTGGGATGGTCAAATGGTCACATTTTGTCCAATAGGAGTCCTTTTAATAGATCTCTTTTCTCCTTTCAGCAATCCTTGTTGACGTTGCAGGAAGCACACATTTGTTGTCTAGCAGCGACACCACGTCCCAGGCCCATCTTCCTTTTTTTCTGCCCCAAGACAAGGTGTCAGTAACCCTCTCCGGGAGAGGAAGAGAGGAGATGGCAAAGGTCCTTCTGGACACAACAGGGAGGGCTACAGGTGCAGGAGACCCTGAAGGACTTTGGGACTTGTTTTTCAAAATTACAAGCCCCGCGCGGGTGACTTCGATAGCAGAGAGCAACAGGGCTCTTCGAACTTGCTCAACGCAGACTTTGGGTCACAGTGGTTCGATCTACCTTTTGGCCTTCTATCGTGTTGACTTTAAACATTTCTGTTTGCTTGGTTTTCATGAGTCTCTTGCTGCTTCCATTTTACGAAACAGCCCCCCAAACGAGCTCCAGTTTGTGGTCTGTCAGCACCTGCAACATATCACAGGTGATACTTCCTGAGCACTTCTTATCTGCCCAGCAATGGGTACCATTAACATCCCCTTAGTACAGATGAGGAAACTGAGGCACAAAAAGTCACCCTGATGCTGACAGTGCAGCCCGTCTGCCTCGCTCCCTCCCCTGCTCCTCCCTCTCCTATGCTTCCCTCCCTTCCTGTATCTATCATCAGCTTACGAGATTGTCTTCCAGTTTTCCCATCTATTAATGCATCTGCTCATTTGTTCACTCACTCTCTCATATCCCATAGTGATCACTCGTTGGCTCAGAGTTTGAGAAGGTAAAAAGATGTGGTCCCTATTGTTCAGAAACACACAGCCTGGTGGGGGCTGAGCCTGGGGACCACAGAGGCCCTTTCTATGACCCAGGAAGGGAGAGATGGAGAAGAGTGGTGGGTTCAAGAGATAAACAGGAGTCAGGAGCAACGGAGAGGGATGACATTGGGACTAAGTGCCAGGAGGCCCTGGGGCTGGCCCTGGGGCTGATGTTTCTCGGCATCTGTGATGGAATCCACATCTCCCGACTTTCTGCTCAGTTCTCTTTCTGCCAACCCTCCCATCCCCCAGGGTAGAGTCTCTCCCACCCCCTATGACAGGAAGGAGCAGACTCCAAAGGCAGATCCAGAGCCAGCTGGCAGGGCCCTGCGGGCAGGGGGATTTCATAGCATCTTTCCTTCTTTCCTCTCCTTTCTACCCCATCTCAGCTCTGGGGCTCAGGCCCCCATCACCTCACCCAGCAGCCTCTCTCCTCCCACGTACTCATCAGATAGCTAAGACCCAACTTCCCTAGAGACCTGGCTTCCCCTGAAGTCCTCTCCAGTAGGGGCTGTTTATTTTCCGACATCTGGGTGTCACAAGAAGGTCCAGTTCTCCTGGCCCCACGACTGCCTCCATACCTCTCCCCACTTAGCCATCATGTAGCCACCCTCCAGTCAGTCCCACCTTCCCCCTGTCTCATGCCTGACACCCGCAGGCCCGTGGAGCATACCCTGCATCACAGGAGGGGGGCATCTGGACCCAGTCTGGTCTGTTCGGCATCACTCACCATCCTTGTGGATGACCTTCTGAGCCCCTGGCCCCTCGCTTCCTGTCCGTCTCATCTCTCATGACCTCCTTCACTCCTCTCCACCCACCTATGACCCACTGGACCTTTGCTGTCAGGTTGGAGGCCTCTTTTGTCAACTCTTCATCTACAGCCCCCCTTGCCCCCTCCCCACCTGTCCTTGAGCCTCACAGGATTGCCAGTGTGGACACACGGAGATGGTGTGGTGTCATCTGCTTAAACCTCATTGCCATCTCTTTGGTCCATCTCTGTCAATACCTTTGTGATCGATAGAATGATGTTCCCAGAGACGTCCGTGTCCTAATCCCCAGGACCTGTGAATGTGTCGCCTTCTGTGGCAAAAGAGACATTATAGATTAAGATTAAGGATCTTGAGTTGGGAGGTTAGCCTGGATTATCCAGGTGGGCCCAATATAATCACAAGGGCCCTTATAAAAGAGGAGCTGGAGGGTCAGAGAGACAGAAGGAGACGTGAAGACGGCATGAGGGTGACATGAGGAAGGGGCCATGGATCCAGAGGTGCAGACAGCCTTGAGAAGGCAAGGGAAAGGACTTCCTTCCAGAGACTCCAGAAGGAATTTAGCCCTGCTTCCACCTTAATTTTAGATTTTGACCTCCAAGACTGTAAGACAACGGATCTGTGTTGTTTTAGGCAAGTGAGTTGTAGTCACTAGTTACAGCCGCGGTAGGAACCTCAAACAACCTTCAGCTCCCTTTGTTTTCCCTTTGTGCCTACCCCGCAAACCCTAACTCTCCATCATCTAGTCACCCCTTCCCTGGTCCTGGGGCCACCGCTGTCCCCCCACACTGGCTTCTTGCTGTAGCCTCCCTGGCCTGGCTCCCTCTCCCTCCCCTAGGCGCAT